CCCTCTCACTCACCCACCCACCCTCTCACTCACCCACCCACCCTCTCACTCACCCACCCTCTCACTCCTTCACCCACCCACCCTCTCACCCACCCACTCTAACACCCACTAACTCACTCACTCTCCCACCTACTCACCCACCCACCCTCTCACTCACCCACCCTCTCACTCATTCACCCACCCACTAACTCACCCACCCACCTACCCACCCACCCACTCACCCACCCACCTACACACCAACCCACCTACCCACCCATCCACTCACCCACCCTGCCACCCACCAACCCTCTCACTCGTTCACTCGCCCACTAACTCAACAACAACCGCCATTCGCCACTAAGTGGCGGTGACGTCACCACGACGCTTGTGCCAGGCTATGTGCACCCTGAGGCCACGTGAAGTGTCGAACGCCCGCTGGCAGGAGGTCACGGGGCAGAACCAGGTGCCACGGGTCGACTGACTGAGATGACTGGCTGATGCACCACCTGTGCCCCCTACTGTGCCAACCTGCTGTGCTTTAGCCGCCCGGCGCTCCGCTCGCTGTTGTGAGCGTCGCTCCTCCGCCCTCCGTTGTTGTTGGAGGGCGACTGCCTCCAACTGCCCAGTAGCATCCTTCACGAGCCTCCTCCACAGAGGCCGATCTTGACACCGCTGGTACCAGTCATCGGCAAGTCCACTCAGCTCCACGTCCTCCTGTACCACATCACTCCATCTCTTCTCTAGCCCGTGCCGCGCCCGCTTAGCCCCCTCAATCCGGCCAAACAAAAGCTGTTTCGGCATGCGGTGGCTGGGCATGCGAGCTACATGACCCAGCCATCGCAGCCTTGCCTGCCGGAGGAGCTCACTGATGGGACCCTGCCCAGATCTTTCAAGGATTTGTGAGCTCCTCACACAATCCAGTCTGGTTAAACCCAGGATGGATCGTAGGCAGGCCAGCCTAAATGTTTCTAACCGGCGAAGATGTTCCATTAGGGGGGTCCACGTTTCGCAAGCGTAGAGAAGGGAGGGAATGACCGTGGCCGAGAAGACCTGAAGCTTAGTGCGGAGCGACAGACCAGGTAGCTTCCACACAGCGTTACGCAACCGATGAAAAGATATTGCCGCTCGACTGATTCGGAGTGAGACCTCTGCTGTTAAACTGGAGCCAGTCATAAGCACACTGCCCAGGTATGGGAAACTCTCCACTCTCTCCACAACTGCCCCATCACCGATTGGGAGTTGTGGGGGTGGAGTGTCCGATGGTACAAAATACCCAGGCAGGTGCTTAGTTTTGGTGGGGCTGATGGTAAGGCCCCACCTCTTAGTGGCACGCTCCAGTCTCAGCAGCAGCATCTCCAACTCCTCCTCTGACTGAGCAGCTATTACCAAATCATCAGCATACATAACGTGGTTGAGCAATAGGGAGCCATCCCTTGACCGCACCCGGGCATCGATTAGCCTCCCATTATATCTGTACCATATGGAGATTCCCCCGGTACAGCTATTGAAGGCTTCACGAACTACGTGGTCAAAATAGATGTTAAATAATGTGGGAGCCAGAGGACATCCCTGTCGCACCCCAAGATGTACAGGGAATGGCTCTGACTCCCGGCCACGTAGTTTTACCCGGGCCCGCTCACCATCATGAAGGTCCTTAATGATCGTGAGCAGAGGGTCAGGTACTCCAAAAGCACGAAGAACGACCCAGAGCCCAGGCCTACTGATGGTATCATAGGCCTTGACCAGGTCAATAAAGCAGAGATGTAGGTCTTGTTGGAATTCCCTACACCTCTGCTGTAGCAGACGGACAGAAAATATGGCATCTGTGCAGGACCGCCCTTTCCTGAAACCGCATTGGGGCTCCGCAAGCCTCTCCTCAGCGTGCCTGGCAAGGCGATGCTGAATAATCCTTGCCAGGACCTTTCCCGGCACACTGAGGAGTGAGATGCCCCTGTAGTTGTTACAGTCTGTGCGGTCCCCCTTCTTAAAAAGGGGGACCACCAGGGCATCCTTCCAATCCTGCGGAACCCGTCCAGTGGTCCAGACTGTTGTTATGATGTCATATAGGGCAGTCTGTGCACAAACGCCACCCTCCCTCAGCATTTCGCTTGGGAGATCATCTCTGCCCGCTGCCTTTCCTGGTCTCAGACTCCGGATCGCCTTCAATACTTCATCAGCAGCTGGCACCTCAGCCAGCCACTCACAGGGGGTGACTTCATCCAATATTTGAGGCACCGCAGCCTCAGCAGGGTCATCCTCACTTTGTGCCACGATGTTTTCCTGGCTGAGGGATTTTCCCTCCCGCAGGACCTCACAGAAATGCTCAGCAAATCTGCGAACCTGTTCCTGGGGGTCGGAAATTGGATCACCGTTTTTTCCCCTAATGATGGTAATAGGTGTGGCGCTGCAGGTTACTTTTTTGATGGAGTTAAATAGAGATTTGTGATCACGGGCCACTGAGGCAGACTCCATCTCCTCAGCAACCCGCGACCACCACCCATCCTTGCAGCGCCTCACGGCTCTCCGAACCTCCGAGCGAAGGCTGCGGTAAGCCTCCTCATTCTCTGACGTGGGATTCTGTAGCCGATGACAGTGGGCCTGTCGCTTTTTCTCAACCATCCTGAACAACTCCTCTGTCATCCAGGGTGTCTGGGGAGGTCTGGACCGCGTACCCAAAGCAGCCATTGCAGCTGCATGAGTCACAGTCCTAAACCTCGCCCATTTACCCTCGACATCAGGAGGAGTCGGGGACGATGCCAATCCCAGCCGCAAGCGATGATGAAATTCTCGCTTGCAACTTTCATCAGATAACTGAGACCAGGCCACTTTAGGTTGGAATGGGGTCCTGGGTGTACACCCACCACCGGAGTGGAAGAATGGCAGGCGCATCTTACAGATGACTAGTCGATGGTCAGAGGGCAGATCAGCTCCACGGTAGGTCCTGGTGTCAAGGACATGGGCTCGCATTCGCTGGTCTGTCACTATGTAGTCCAGCAGATGTTCTTGCTTGGACCCGGCATGCATCCATGATGTTGTGTGGATGCGCCGATGCCGGAACAGCGTGTTGGTAATTACAAGCCCATGGGCTGCACAAAAATCTAGCAGCCTCCTACCGTTGTTATTGAGCTGATCTGGCCCATGCCCTCCAATCACTCCAGACCAGGTGCCAGTATCATGACCAACTCGGGCATTGAAGTCACCCAACATGATGACTCTATCCCGAGGGGCCACTTTAGCCAGCACCTGTGACAGGAGGTCATAGAAGGCATCTGACTCATCGGCTTTGCCTGCATCCCTCCACGGATGTTCGTCTTCGGTGGGGGCATAAGTAACCACGACCACCAATACTCACCTCCGGTTGATGGGAAGGCGAGCCCAAAGTAGCCTGGGGCTTACAGCTTCCCACACCTCACCGCCACGCTCCCACGCCCCCTTCATTCTTTTTGTTCAAAAGAAGACCCACACCCTGTTGTTTGGCAGTCTGCTGCCCCGAGTAGAGGACTGTCCACCCCTCATGGTGGCAGGAGCCAGAGCCGGTCCACCGGACCTCCTGAATGCCGCATAGATCCAGGCGGGTACCGGTCCAGCTCCCGACAGAGGAGTGGCAGCCTCTCCTCTGCAGTGAGCGTTCGAACATTCCACGTGGCCACCCGTAGTGGCTTTTCGTTGTTTCTGGAGTAGCCCCGAGGGTAGGTATTCAATCTCCTGGCTCCGCCAATTGCGGTTTGGCCAGGAGACGTCATAGACGCCTGGCCCCCCGGGGCCTCCGGCACTAACTCACCCACCCTGCCACCCATCCTCCCCCCCCCCCACAGCGCCACCCCGAGTGCTCCCCGAGCTGCGACTTTGCCGCGTCCGCCCGGGACCCCCGTGGCTCTCCGTGCCCGCCGCCACGACTCTCGGCGGGCTTCACGGCGGCGTGCGTGCCGGCGTGCCGCAGCGACGCTCACTGCGGCACGCCGCGACGCTGCTGCGCCGACGACTGCGGAGGGGCCACGTGCCGGGCCACGCGCCCGGCCACGCGCGGTGAGGACGGGGCACGGCGGGTGGTGGTGTTGTGGTGGTGGTGGTGTTGTGGTGGTGGTGACGGTGGTGGTGGTGACGGTGGTGGTGACGACTGCGAGGGGCCACGCGCCCGGCCACGCGCGGTGAGGACGCCGCACGGCGGTTAGTGTTGGTGTTGGTGGTGTTGGTGTTGTGGTGGTGGTGGTGTTGTGGTGGTGGTGGTGTTGTGGTGGTGGTGTTGTGGTGGTGGTGGTGACGGTGGTGTTGGTGGTGTTGTGGTGGTGGTGGTGTTGTGGTGGTGGTGGTGACGACGCTGACGATGACGACTGCGGAGGGGCCACGTGCCGGGCCACGCGCCCGGCCACGCGCGGTGAGGACGGGGCACGGCGGTTGGTGGTGTTGTGGTGGTGGTGGTGTTGTGGTGGTGTTGTGGTGGTGGTGGTGTTGTGGTGGTGGTGGTGACGGTGGTGGTGACGGTGGTGGTGGTGACGGTGGTGGTGACGACTGCGGAGGGGCCACGCGCCCGGCCACGCGCGGTGAGGACGCCGCACGGCGGTGGCGGTTAGTGTTGGTGTTGGTGTTGTTGGTGGTGTTGGTGTTGTGGTGGTGGTGGCGGTGGTGTTGTTGGTGTTGTTGTTGGTGTTGTTGTTGGTGGTGTTGTTGTTGGTGTTGTTGGTGTTGTTGTTGTGACGGCAGTGGTGGTGGTGGTGGTGGTTGTGATGGTGGCGGTGGTGGTTGTGACAGTTGTGGCGGTGGCGGTGGTGGTGACGACGATGACGACGATGATGACGACGATGATGACGACGACGATGATGACGACGATGATGACGATGATGACGACGATGATGACGATGATGACGACGACGACGATGATGACGACGATGATGACGACGATGATGACGACGACGACGATGATGACGATGACGACGACAATGATGACGACGACGATGACGACGACGATGATGACGACGATGATGACGACGACGATGATGACGATGATGACGACGATGATGACGACGACGATGATGACGACGACGATGACGACGCCTCCATGTTTGTCGAGCTGTTCCTCGTGGCAGTCCAGGGTCAAAGAGCTCCCACACAGCAGATCGTCGAGGGCCTCCCACCCCCAGTGATGTCATCAACTCGTGATGTCATCAACTCGTGATGTCATCAACTCGTGATGTCATCAACTCGTGATGTCATCAACTCGTGATGACATCAACTCGTGACGTCATCAACTCGTGATGACATCAACTCGTGATGACATCAACTCGTGATGTCATCAACTCGTGATGTCATAAACTCGTGATGTCATCAACTCGTGATGTCATCAACTTCGTGATGACATCAACTTCGTGATGTCATCAACTCGTGATGACATCAACTCGTGATGACATCAACTTCGTGATGACATCAACTTCGTGATGACATCAACTTCGTGATGACATCAACTCGTGATGACATCAACTTCGTGATGACATCAACTCGTGATGACATCAACTCGTGATGACATCAACTTCGTGATGACATCAACTTCGTGATGACATCAACTTCGTGATGACATCAACTCGTGATGACATCAACTTCGTGATGACATCAACTTCGTGATGACATCAACTTCGTGATGACATCAACTCGTGACGTCATCAACTCGTGACGACATCAACTTCGTGATGTCATCAACTTCGTGATGTCATCAACTCGTGATGTCATCAACTTCGTGATGACATCAACTTCGTGATGACATCAACTTCGTGATGACATCACGACTTGAAGCCTTCGTGACTGCAGGAACTCACATTCTGTGAAGTTCTTTCGGTTGAAGCCACCACGGAGATAGAGAAGACAGTAAAACATCGTCTTCAGGCGAGGTTGCGATCGTAACACAGTGATAATTTAGTTATTTATTATTTTTAATTCACTTTGTTACTTATTATTTTATTGTTATTATTTTTCTATCCACGCGCGGCTTAACCGAGAGGACCGGAGCACAACTCGGAATGAGTCTGCCAGGAATGAACGTCACTCGATGCTGTTACACCCCGCGATGAGCCTCATCCTGCCTCTCCACTCACTCACTCACCCACTCACCCACTCACTCACTCACTCACCCACTCACTCACTCACCCACTCACTCACCCACTCAATCACCCACTCACCCACTCACCCACTCACTCACTCACTCACCCACCCACTCACTCACTCACTCACCCTCACCCACTCACTCACCCTCTCACTCACCCTCTCACTCACCCACTCACTCACCCTCTCACTCACTCACTCACCTTCTCACCCTCTCACTCACTCACCCACTCACCTACACACTCACCCACTCACCCTCTCACTCACTCACTCACCCACTCACTCACCCACCCACCCACCCACTCACCCTCTCACCCACTCCCTCCCTCCATCTTCCCCGTGACCCCTTGACCTTCTCCCCCCCCCCCCCCCCCCAGGTGTGCCACTGAAGCCACAGAGCGAGCTGGCTGTGAGCCTCCAGCCCGGTGGGGGCGGGGCTACGGGGGGCGGGGCGACGTGGGTGGACGTCAGGTGGACGTCACGCTTTAACGTGTCGGCCCAGCCCGTGGTGTTCGTGCTGCAGGGCCGCTGGAACCACGGAATCCACCCCAGCGAGGTGGCCGCGTCGCCCTGGGAGACCGTCTCCATGGTAACTAGCGTCACCGTGGTTACTAGCGTCACCGTGGTAACTAGCGTCGCCCTGGGAGACCGTCTCCATGGTAACTAGCGTCACCGTGGTAACTAGCGTCTCCGTGGTAACTAGCGTCACCGTGGTTACTAGCGTCTCCGTGGTAACTAGCGTCTCCGTGGTTACTAGCGTCTCCGTGGTTACTAGCATCACCGTGGTTACTAGCGTCTCCGTGGTTACTAGCGTCTCCATGGTTACTAGCGTTTCTGTGGTAACTAGCGTCTCCATGGTAACTAGCGTCACCGTGGTTACTAGCGTCACCGTGGTAACTAGCGTCACCGTGGTAACTAGCGTCACCGTGGTTACTAGCGTCTCCATGGTAACTAGCGTGTCCGTGATTACTAGCGTCACCGTGGTAACTAGAGTCTCCATGGTTACTAGCGTCTCTGTGGTAACTAGCGTCTCCATGGTAACTAGCGTGTCCGTGATTACTAGCGTCACCGTGGTAACTAGCGTCACCGTGGTTACTAGCGTCTCCATGGTAACTAGCATGTCCGTGGTTACTAGCGTCACCGTGGTAACTAGCGTCACCGTGGTAAGTAGCGTCACCGTGGTTACTAGCGTCTCCGTGGTAACTAGCGTCACCGTGGTTACTAGCGTCACCGTGGTAACTAGCGTCTCCGTGGTAACTAGCGTCACCGTGGTTACTAGCGTCACCGTGGTAACTAGCGTCTCCGTGGTAACTAGCATCACCGTGGTAACTAGCGTCACCGTGGTAACTAGCATCTCCGTGGTTACTAGCGTCTCCATGGTAACTAGCGTCTCCATGGTAACTAGCGTCTCCATGGTTACTAGCGTCTCCGTGGTAACTAGCGTCTCCGTGTCCGCGCGTCTCCGCGTGTCCCATGTCCCCATGTCACCCACCTCCCCTGGCGTGTGTACCCCAGACGTTCGAGTCCCGTGTCCGTGTGTCTCTGTGTGTCTCTGTCTCTGTGTGTCTACGTGTGTCTCCGTGTGTCTCTGTATGTCTCTGTGTGTCTCTGTGTGTATCTGTGTGTCTCCGTGTGTCTGTGTCTCTGTATGTCTCTGTGTGTCTCTGTATGTCTCTGTATGTCTCTGTATGTCTCCGTGTGTCTCTGTATCTGTGTGTGTCTGTGTGTGTCTCTGTGTGTCTCTGTGTGTCTCTGTGTGTCTCCGTGTGTCTCCGTGTGTCTCTCTGTGTCTCTGTGTGTCTCTGTCTCTGTGTATCTCTGTGTGTGTCTCTGTGTGTCTCCGTGTGTCTCTGTGTGTCTCCGTGTGTCTCTGTATGTCTGTGTGTGTCTCTATGTGTCTCCGTGTGTCCCCCCAGACGTCCGAGTCCCGTGTCCGCGTGTCCGGCCTGCGTCCCGCCTGCTGGTACCAGCTGCGCGTCGCCGTGTGTCTCTGTCTCCGTGTGTCTCTGTGTGTCTCCGTGTCTCTGTGTGTCTCTGTCTCTGTGTATCTCTGTGTCTCCGTGTGTCTCTGTGTGTCTCTGTCTCTGTGTATCTCTGTGTCTCCGTGTGTCTCTGTGTGTCTCCGTGCGTCTCTGTGTGTCTCCGTGCGTCTCCGTGTGTCTCTGTGTGTCTCTGTGTGTCTCTATGCGTCTCCGTGTGTCTGCGTGTGTCTCTGTGTGTCTCTGTGTGTGTCTCCGTGTGTCTCCGTGTGTCTCCGTGTCTCTGTGTGTCTCTGTGTGTCTCCGTGTCTCTGTGTGTCTCCGTGTGTATCTGTGTGTCTCTGTATATCTCTGTGTCTGTGTGTCTCTGTGTGTCTCTGTGTCTCTGTGTGTCTCTGTGTCTCTGTGTGTCTCTGTGTGTCTCCCCAGACGTCCGAGTCCCGTGTCCACGTGTCCGGTCTGCGTCCTGCTCGCTGGTACCAGCTGCGCGTCGCCGTGTGTCTCTGTCTCCGTGTGTCTCTGTGTGTCTCCGTGTCTCTGTGTGTCTCTGTCTCTGTGTATCTCTGTGTCTCCGTGTGTCTCTGTGTGTCTCTGTGTGTCTCTGTATCTCTGTGTCTCCGTGTGTCTCCGTGTGTCTCTGTGTGTCTCCGTGCGTCTCTGTGTGTCTCCGTGCGTCTCCGTGTGTCTCTGTGTCTCTGTGTGTCTCTATGCGTCTCCGTGTGTCTGCGTGTGTCTCTGTGTGTCTCTGTGTGTGTCTCCGTGTGTCTCTGTGTGTCTCCGTGTGTATCTGTGTGTCTCTGTATATCTCTGTGTCTGTGTGTCTCTGTGTATCTGTGTGTCTCTGTGTGTCTCTGTGTATCTCTGTGTGTCTCTGTGTATCTGTGTCTCCGTGTGTCTCCGTGTGTCTCTGTGTGTCTCCCCAGACGTCCGAGTCCCGTGTCCGCGTGTCTGGCCTGCGTCCCGCCCGTTGGTACCAGCTGTGTGTCTCCGTGTGTCTCTGTGTGTCTCCGTGTGTCTCTGTATGTCTGTGTGTCTCTGTGTGTTTCTGTGTGTCTCCGTGTGTCTCCGTGTGTCTCTGTGTGTCTCTGTGTATCTCTGTGTATCTGTGTGTCTCTGTGTGTCTCTGGGTGTCTCTGTATATTTCTGTGTGTCTCTGTGTGTGTCTCTGTGTGTCTCCGTGTGTCTCTGTGTATCTCTGTGTGTCTGTGTGTCTCTGTGTGTCTCTGTGTGTATCTCTGTGTCTCTCTGTGTGTCTCTGTGTGTCTGTGTGTCTCTGTGTGTCTCTGTGTGTCTCTGTGTGTCTCTGTATCTCTCTGTGTGTCTCTGTGTGTCTCTGTGTGTCTCTGTGTATCTCTGTGTGTCTCTGTGTGCCTCTGTGTCTGTGTGTATATCTGTGTGTCTCTGTGTGTCTCTGTGTCTCTGTGTCTCTGTGTGTCTCTGTGTGTCTCCCCAGACGTCCGAGTCCCGTGTCCATGTGTCCGGTCTGCGTCCCGCTCGCTGGTACCAGCTGTGTCTCTGTGTGTCTCTGTGTGTCTCTGTGTGTCTCTGTGTGTATCTGTGTGTCTGTGTGTCTCTGTGTGTCTCTGTGCGTCTCTGTGTGTCTCCGTGTCTCTGTGTGTCTCTGTGTGTCTCCCCAGACGTCCGAGTCCCGTGTCCACGTGTCCGGTCTGCGTCCCGCTCGCTGGTACCAGCTGTGTCTCTGTGTGTCTCTGTGTGTCTCTGTGTGTCTCTGTTTGTCTGTGTGTGTCTGTGTGTGTCTCTGTGTGTCTCTGTGTGTCTCTGTGTCTCTGTGTGTCTCCCCAGACGTCCGAGTCCCGTGTCCGCGTGTCCGGGCTGCGTCCCGCCCGCTGGTACCAGCTGTGTCTCTGTGTGTCTCTGTGTCTCTGTGTGTCTCTGTGTATCTCTGTGTGTCTCTGTGTGTCTGTGTGTGTCTGTGTGTGTCTCTGTGTGTATCTGTGTGTCTCTGTGTGTCTCCCCAGACGTCCGAGTCCCGTGTCCGCGTGTCCGGGCTGCGTCCCGCCCGCTGGTACCAGCTGTGTCTCTGTGTGTCTCTGTGTGTCTCTGTGTGTGTCTGTGTGTCTCTGTGTGTGTCTGTGTGTCTGTGTGTATCTGTGTGTCTCTGTGTGTATCTGTGTGTCTGTGTGTCTCTGTGTGTATCTGTGTGTCTCTGTGTGTCTCTGTGTGTCTGTGTGTCTCTGTGTATCTCTGTGTGTCTCTGTGTGTCTCTGTGTATCTCTGTGTGTCTCTGTGTGTCTCTGTGTGTGTCTGTGTGTATCTGTGTGTCTCTGTGTGTCTCTGTGTGTCTGTGTGTATCTGTGTGTCTCTGTGTGTCTCTGTGTGTCTCTGTGTGTCTGTGTGTCTCTGTGTGTCTCTGTGTATCTCTGTGTGTCTCTGTGTGTCTCCGTGTCTCTGTGTATCTCTGTGTGTCTCCCCAGACGTCCGAGTCCCGTGTCCGCGTGTCCGGTCTGCGTCCCGCCCGCTGGTACCAGCTGTGTCTCTGTGTGTCTCTGTGTGTCTCTGTGTGTATCTGTGTGTCTCTGTGTGTCTCTGTGTGTATCTGTGTGTCTCTGTGTGTATCTGTGTGTCTCTGTGTGTCTCTGTGTGTGTCTGTGTGTCTCTGTGTGTATCTGTGTGTCTCTGTGTGTGTCTGTGTGTATCTGTGTGTCTCTGTGTGTATCTGTGTGTCTGTGTGTCTCTGTGTGTCTCTGTGTGTCTCTGTGTCTCTGTGTGTCTCTGTGTGTCTCTGTGTCTCTGTGTGTCTCTGTGTGTCTCTGTGTGTCTCTGTGTGTCTCCGTGTGTCTCTGTGTCTCCGTGTGTCTCCGTGTGTCTCTGTGTATCTCTGTGTGTCTCTGTGTGTCTCTGTGTGTCTCCGTGTGTATCTGTGTGTCTCTGTGTGTCTCTGTGTGTCTCCGTGTGTCTCTGTGTATCTCTGTGTATCTCTGTGTGTCTCCGTGTGTCTGTGTATCTGTGTGTATCTGTGTGTCTCTGTGTGTCTCTGTGTATCTCTGTGTGTCTCTGTGTGTCTCTGTGTGTCTCCGTGTGTCTCTGTGTGTCTCTGTGTGTCTCTGTCTCTGTGTGTCTCTGTCTCTGTGTGTCTCTGTCTCTGTATGTCTCTGTATGTCTCCTTGTGTCTCCTTGTGTCTCCGTGTGTCTCTGTGTGTCTCTGTGTGTCTCTGTGTGTCTCCGTGTGTCTCCCCAGACGTCCGAGTCCCGTGTCCGCGTGTCCGGTCTGCGTCCCGCTCGCTGGTACCAGCTGTGTCTGTGTGTCTCTGTGTGTCTCTGTGTGTCTGTGTGTCTCTGTGTGTCTCTGTGTATCTCTGTGTGTCTCTGTGTGTCTCCGTGTCTCTGTGTATCTCTGTCTGTCTCCCCAGACGTCCGAGTCCCGTGTCCGCGTGTCCGGTCTGCGTCCCGCCCGCTGGTACCAGCTGTGTCTCTGTGTGTCTCTGTGTGTATCTGTGTGTCTCTGTGTGTCTCTGTGTGTCTCTGTGTGTATCTGTGTGTCTCTGTGTGTATCTGTGTGTCTCTGTGTGTCTCTGTGTGTGTCTGTGTGTCTCTGTGTGTATCTGTGTGTCTCTGTGTGTGTCTCTGTGTGTATCTGTGTGTCTGTGTGTCTCTGTGTGTCTCTGTGTGTCTCTGTGTCTCTGTGTGTCTCTGTGTGTCTCTGTGTCTCTGTGTGTCTCTGTGTGTCTCTGTGTGTCTCTGTGTGTCTCTGTGTGTCTCTGTGTGTCTCCGTGTGTCTCTGTGTCTCCGTGTGTCTCCGTGTGTCTCTGTGTATCTCTGTGTGTCTCTGTGTGTCTCTGTGTGTCTCCGTGTGTATCTGTGTGTCTCTGTGTGTCTCCGTGTGTCTCTGTGTATCTCTGTGTATCTCTGTGTGTCTCCGTGTGTCTGTGTGTCTGTGTATCTGTGTGTCTCTGTGTATCTCTGTGTGTCTCTGTGTGTCTCTGTGTGTCTCCGTGTGTCTCTGTGTGTCTCTGTGTGTCTCTGTCTCTGTGTGTCTCTGTCTCTGTATGTCTCTGTATGTCTCCTTGTGTCTCCTTGTGTCTCCGTGTGTCTCTGTGTGTCTCTGTGTGTCTCTGTGTGTCTCCGTGTGTCTCCCCAGACGTCCGAGTCCCGTGTCCGCGTGTCCGGTCTGCGTCCCGCTCGCTGGTACCAGCTGTGTCTGTGTGTCTCTGTGTGTCTCTGTGTGTCTGTGTGTATCTGTGTGTCTCTGTGTGTCTCTGTGTGTGTCTGTGTGTATCTGTGTGTCTGTGTGTCTCTGTGTGTGTCTGTGTGTATCTGTGTGTATCTGTGTGTATCTGTGTGTCTCTGTGTGTCTCTGTGTGTCTCTGTGTCTTTGTGTGTCTCTGTGTGTCTCTGTGTGTCTCTGTGTCTCTGTGTGTCTCTGTGTGTCTCTGTGTCTCTGTGTGTCTCCGTGTCTCTGTGTGTCTCCGTGTCTCTGTGTGTCTCTGTGTGTCTCTGTGTGTCTCTGTGTGTCTCCGTGTGTCTCTGTGTCTCCGTGTGTCTCCGTGTGTCTCTGTGTATCTCTGTGTGTCTCTGTGTGTCTCTGTGTGTCTCCGTGTGTCTCTGTGTGTATCTGTGTGTCTCTGTGTGTCTCTGTGTGTCTCCGTGTGTCTCTGTGTATCTCTGTGTATCTCTGTGTGTCTCCGTGTGTCTGTGTGTCTGTGTATCTGTGTGTCTCTGTGTATTTCTGTGTGTCTCTGTGTGTCTCTGTGTGTCTCCGTGTGTCTCTGTGTGTCTCTGTGTGTCTCTGTCTCTGTGTGTCTCTGTGTGTCTCTGTCTCTGTATGTCTCTGTATGTCTCCTTGTGTCTCCGTGTGTCTCTATGTGTCTCTGTGTGTCTCCGTGTGTCTCCCCAGACGTCCGAGTCCCGTGTCCGCGTGTCCGGTCTGCGTCCCGCCCGCTGGTACCAGCTGTGTGTCTCTGTGTGTCTGTGTGTCTCTGTGTCTCTGTGTGTATCTGTGTGTCTCTGTGTGTCTCTGTGTGTCTCTGTGTGTCTCCGTGTGTCTCTGTGTATCTCTGTGTGTCTCTGTGTGTCTCTGTGTCTCCCCAGACGTCCGAGTCCCGTGTCCGCGTGTCCGGTCTGCGTCCCGCCCGCTGGTACCAGCTGTGTGTCTCTGTGTGTCTCTGTGTGTCTCTGTATATCTCTGTGTGTCTCCGTGTGTCTCTGTGTGTCTCTGTGTGTCTCTGTCTGTCTCTGTGTGTCTCCGTGTGTATCTGTGTGTCTCTGTGTGTCTCTGTGTATCTCTGTGTCTCTGTGTGTCTCTGTGTGTCTCCGTGTGTCTCCCCAGACGTCCGAGTCCCGTGTCCGCGTGTCCGGTCTGCGTCCCGCCCGCTGGTACCAGCTGTGTGTCTCTGTGTCTCTGTGTATCTCTGTGTCTCTGTGTGTATCTGTGTATCTCTGTGTGTCTCTGTGTGTCTCTGTGTGTCCAGACGTCCGAGTCCCGTGTCCGCGTGTCCGGCCTGCGTCCCGCCCGCTGGTACCAGATGTGTGTCTCTGTGTGTCTCTGTGTATCTCTGTGTCTCTGTGTGTCTCTGTGTGTATCTGTGTGTGTCTGTGTGTATCTGTGTGTATCTGTGTGTCTCTGTGTGTCTCTGTGTGTATCTGTGTGTCTGTGTGTATCTGTGTGTCTCTGTGTGTGTCTGTGTGTATCTGTGTGTCTCTGTGTGTCTCTGTGTGTCTGTCTGTCTCTGTGTGTCTCTGTGTGTCTCTGTGTCTCCGTGTCTCTGTGTGTCTCTGTGTGTCTCTGTGTGTCTCTGTGTGTTTCTGTGTCTCCCCAGACGTCCGAGTCCCGTGTCCGCGTGTCCGGTCTGCGTCCCGCCCGCTGGTACCAGCTGCATCTGTGTGTCTCTGTGTGTCTGTGTGTCTGTGTATCTCTGTGTGTCTCTGTGTGTCTCTGTGTGTCTGTGTGTCTGTGTCTCTGTGTGTCTCCGTGTGTCTCTGTGTGTCTCCCCAGACGTCCGAGTCCCGTGTCCGCGTGTCCGGTCTGCGTCCCGCCCGCTGGTACCAGCTGTGTGTCTCTGTGTGTCTCTGTGTGTCTCTGTATATCTCTGTGTCTCTGTGTGTCTCTGTGTGTATCTGTGTGTGTCTGTGTGTATCTGTGTGTCTCTGTGTGTCTCTGTGTGTATCTGTGTGTCTGTGTGTATCTGTGTGTCTCTGTGTGTGTCTGTGTGTATCTGTGTGTCTCTGTGTGTCTGTGTGTCTCTGTGTGTCTCTGTGTGTCTCTGTGTCTCCGTGTCTCTGTGTGTCTCTGTGTGTCTCTGTGTGTTTCTGTGTCTCCCCAGACGTCCGAGTCCCGTGTCCGCGTGTCCGGTCTGCGTCCCGCCCGCTGGTACCAGCTGTGTGTATCTGTGTGTATCTGTGTGTATCTGTGTGTCTCTGTGTGTGTCTGTGTGTATCTGTGTGTCTCTGTGTGTCTCTGTGTGTCTGTGTGTCTCTGTGTGTCTCTGTGTCTCCGTGTCTCTGTGTGTCTCTGTGTGTCTCTGTGTGTTTCTGTGTCTCCCCAGACGTCCGAGTCCCGTGTCCGCGTGTCCGGTCTGCGTCCCGCCCGCTGGTACCAGCTGTGTGTCTCTGTGTGTCTGTGTGTGTCTGTGTGTGCCTGTGTGTCTCTGTGTGTCTCCCCAGACGTCCGAGTCCCGTGTCCGCGTGTCCGGTCTGCGTCCCGCCCGCTGGTACCAGCTGCGCGTCGCCGCCGTCAACGCCCAGGGCACCCGCGGATTCACCGCCCCCTCACGTCACTTCACTCTGCCTCAAGGTGGACACTCACCGGGGTGGTGGACACTCACCGGGGGGGGGGGGGTGGACACACGGGGGGGGGGTGGACACTCACGGGGGGTAGACACTCACCGGGGTGTGGGTGGACACTCACGGGGGGTGGACACACGGGGGGGGGTGGACACACGGGGGGGGGGGGGTGGACACTCACCGGGGTGGTGGACACTCACCGGGGGCGGGGGGTGGACACTCACGGGGGGTGGTGGACACACTGGGGGTGGTGGACACACTGAGGGAGGGTGGTGGACACACTGGGGGAGGGTGGTGGACACTCACGGGGGGTGGACACAGAGGGAGGGTGGTGGACACACTGGGGGGGTGGTGGACACACTGGGGGAGGGTGGTGGACACACTGAGGGTGGTGGACACACTGGGGGTGGTGGACACACTGAGGGTGGTGGACACACTGAGGGAGGGTGGTGGACACTCACGGGTGGTGGACACTCACGGGTGGTGGACACACTGAGGGTGGTGGACACACTGAGGGTGGTGGACACTGTGTCCCCCACGTGTCTCTGTCTCCCTCACCCTCAGATCCGTCGCCTCCTCCTCCGCCCTCCTCCCTCCGGCTGAGTCACATGACCTTCGCGGGGGGCAAGGGGGGGCCCCCCGAGCCCCCCCGGGGGGGGATGGCGGTGGGGGCGGGGGGAGGGGTCCGGGTCCGGGTATCTTGGCAGCCCCCTGTGGATCCGGACGTGCCGGTACGCTACTACCGTGTGTCCATCACCACCACCGCCACCACCGCCACCGCACGGCGGGAGGGGAACAGGAGGAGGAGGAGGGTGGACACGGTGAGATGGCACTCACCCACCCCCTCGCCCGCTCACCCGCCCACTCGCCCGCTCACTCGCCCACTCACTCATCCACTCGCGCACCCACCCACTCGCCCACCCACCCACTCGCCCACCCGCCCACTCGCCCACTCGCCCACCCACTCACACGCTCACTCACCCACTCACTCGCCCACTCACTCATCCACTCGCGCACCCACCCACTCGCCCACTCACCCACTCGCCCACCCACCCACTCGCCCACTCGCCCACCCACTCACACGCTCACTCACCCACTCACTCGCCCACCCACTCACTCGCCCACCCACTCAGCCACTCGCCCACTCGCCCACTCGCCCACTCGCCCACTCACCGACTCGCCCACCCACTCGCCCACTCACTCACTTGCCCACTCACCCACTCACTCGCCCACTCGCCCACTCACTCACTCGCCCACCCACTCGCCCACTCACCCACTCACTCGCCCACTCACCCACTCACCCACCCACTCACCCGTCCAATTGCCCACTCACCCACTCGCCCACTCACTCATCCGTTCACTCGCCCACTCTTTGACCCACTCACCTACTCACCCACCCACCCACTCACGCACTCACCCATTCACCCACCTACTCACCCATTCACCCACCCACTCACCACTCACCCACCTACTCACCCATTCACCCACCCACTCACCACTCACCCACCCATTCACCCACCTACTCACCCATTCACCCACCCACTCACCACTCACCCACCCACTCAACCATTCACCCATCCACTCACTCACCCATTCACCCATACATTCACCCATTCACAACAACCGCCATTCACCACTAAGTGGTGGTGACGTCACCACGACGCTTGTGCCCGCCTATGTGTACGTTGAGGCCACGTGAAGTGTTGAACGCCTGCTGGCAGGAGGTCACAGGACAGATCTAGGTTGCTATGGTTCAACTGACTGAGATGACTGGCTGATGCACCACCTGTGCCCACTACTGTGCCAACCTGCTGTGTTTTAGCCACACGGCGCTCCGCTTGTTGTTGTGAGCGTCGCTCCTCCGCCCTCCGTTGTTGTTGGAGGGCGACTGCCTCCAACTGCCCAGTAGCGTCCTTCACGAGCCTCCTCTACAGAGGCCGATTTTGACACCGCTGGTACCAGTCATCGGCAAGTCCACTCAGCACCACGTCCTCCTGTACCACATCACTCCATCTCTTCTCTAGCCCGTGCTGCGCCCGTTTTGCCCCCTCGATCCGGCCGAACAAAAACTGTTTTGGCATGCGGTGGCTGGCCATGCGGGCTACATGACCCAGCCAACGTAGCCTTGCCTGCCGGAGGAGCTCACCGATGGGACTTTGTCCAGATCTTTCAAGGATTTGTGAGCTCCTCACACAATCCAGCCTGGTTAAACCCAGGATCGATCGTAGGCAGGCCAGCCTAAATGTTTCTAACCAGCGAAGATGTTCCTTTAGGGAGGTCCACGTTTCGCAAGCGTAGAGAAGGGAGGGGATGACTGTGGCCGAGAAGACCTGAAGCTTCGTGCGGAGCAACAGACAAGGCAGCTTCCACACAGCGTTATGCAACCGATGAAAAGATATTGCCACTCGACTGATTCTCTGCTGTCAAACCGGAGCTGGTCATGAGCACACTGCCCAGGTATGGAAAACTCTCCACTCTCTCCACAATTGCCCTATCAACAATTGGGAGTTGTGGGGGTGGAGTGTCCGATGGTACAAAATACCCAGGCAGGTGCTTAGTTTTGGTGCGGCTGATGGTAAGGCCCCACCTCTTAGTGGCAAGCTCCAGTCTCAGCAGCAGCGTCTCCAACTCCTCCTCTGAGTGAGCAGCAATTACCAGGTCATCGGCATACGTAACGTGGTTGAGCAATAGGGAGCCATCCCTTGGGCATTGATCAGCCTCCCATTGTATCTGTGCCAGATAAAAATTCCTCCGGTACAGCTACTGAAGGCTTCACGAACTACGTGGTTGAAATAGATGTTAAATAATGTGGGCGCCAGAGGACATCCCTGTCGCACCCCAAGGTATACAGGGAATGGCTCCGACTCCCAGCCACGTAGTTTTACCCGGGCCCACTCACCATCATGATCGTGAGCAGAGGGTCAGGTACTCCAAAAGCACGAAGAACAATCCAGAGCCCAGGCCTACTGATGGTATCATAGGCCTTTACCAGGTCAATAAAACAGAGATGTAGGTCCTGTTGGAATTCCCTACACCTCTGCTGTAGTAGACGGACAGAAAAAATGGCATCTGTGCAGGACCGCCCTTTCCTGAAACCGCATTGGGGCTCCGCAAGCCTCTCCTCAGCGTGCCTGGCATGGCGATGTTGAATAATCTTTGCCAGGACCTTTCCCGGCACACTGAGGAGTGAGATGCCCCTGTAGTTGTTACAGTCTGTGCGGTCCCCCTTCTTAAAGAGAGGGCCCACCAGGGCATCCTGGTGATGTCATGTAAGGCAGTCTGTGCACAAACGCCACCCTCCCTCAGCATTTTGCTTGGGAGATCATCTCTGCCCGGTGCCTTTCCTGGTCTCAGACTCTGGATCGCCTTCAGTACTTCCCCAAAAGATGGCACCTCAGCCAGCCACTCACAGGGGGTTACTACTTAATCCAATATTTGAGGCACTGTAGCCTCAGCAGGGTCATCCCAACTTTGCCCAATAATGTTTTCCAGGCTGAGGGATTTCCCATTCCCCAAGACCTCACATAAATCCTAAGCAAATCTTCAAACCTGTTCCTGGGGGTCTGAAACCAGATCACCTTTTTTTTCCATAACGATGGTGATAGGTGTGGCACTGCAAGTTACTTTTTTATGGAGTTAGAGAGCGATTTGTGATTGGGGGCCACAGACTCCATCTCCTCAGCAACCCGCGACCACCACCCATCCTTGCAGCACCACACGGCTTTCTGAACTTCTGAGCAAAGGCCTCATCATTCTCTGACGTGCGATGCTGTAGACGATGAGAGTGGGCCTGTCGCTTTTTCTCAGCCAGCCTGAACACCTCCTCTTTCAGCCAGGGTCTCTGGGGAGGTCTGGACCGCGTGCCCAAAGCAGCCATTGCAGCCGCCATGAACCAATTCACCCATTCATCAACCCACTCACCCACTGACCCATTCAAACACTCACTCACTCACCCACTCACCCAATCACTCACTCATTCACCAACCCACCTACTCACCCACTGACCCATTCACACAATAACTCACCCACCCACACACCTACTCACCCACTGACCCATTCACACACTCACTCGGCCACCTACTCACTCACCCACTCGCCCACCTACTCACCCACTGACCCATTCACACACTCACTCACTCACCCACCCACCGACTCACCCACTGACCCATTCACACACTCGGCCACCTACTCACTCACCCACCAACTCACCCATTCACTCACTCACTCACCCACCCACCCACTTAACTACACACCCACTCACACACCCACTTACTCATTCACTCACCCATTCACGCACCCACTCACCCACTCAACCATTCACGCACCCACTCACCCACTCAACCATTCACCCACTCAACCATTCACGCACCCACTCACCCACCTAAACAGCCACTCACTCATTCAGACATCCACTCGCCCATTCACTCAGCAGCGTCATCATGATCATGCTGATCATGATGACGCTGCTGCTGATCATCATGATGACGCTGCTGATGATGATGGTGCTGATGACGATGCTGATGACTACGCTGCTGATGACGCTGCTGCTGATGACGACGCTGCTGATGACGCTGCTGCTGATCATCATGATGACGCTGCTGATAACGCTGCTGCTGATGACGACGCTGCTGATGACGACGCTGCTGATGATGACGCTGATGACGACGACGCTGCTGACGACGACGCTGCTGACGACGACGCTGCTGATGACGACGCTGCTGATGACGACGCTGCTGATGACGACGCTGATGACGACGCTGCTGATGACGCTGCTGCTGATGACGCTGCTGATGATGACGCTGCTGACGACGACGCTGCTGACGACGACGCTGCTGACGACGACGCTGCTGACGACGACGCTGCTGATGACGACGCTGCTGATGACGACGCTGCTGATGATGACGACGCTGCTGATGACGACGCTGCTGATGATGACGACGCTGCTGATGATGACGCTGCTGATGACGACGCTGCTGACGGCGACGCTGCTGACGACGACGCTGCTGACAACGACGCTGCTGATGACGACGCTTTTGCTGATGACGACGCTGATGATGACGCTGATGACGACGCTGCTGCTGCTGACGATGATGATGACACTGCTGCTGATACTGCTGCTGATGATACTGCTGCTGATGATGATGACGTTGCTGCTGCTGCTGACACTGCTGATGATGATGATGACACTGCTGCTGCTGATACTGATGATGATGATGATACTGATGCTGCTGCTGATGACACTGCTGCTGCTGATGATACTGATGATGATGCTGCTGCTGATGATCATGACACTGCTGCTGCTGATGATGATGACACTGCTGCTGCTGATGACACTGCTGCTGCTGATGATACTGATGATGATGACACTGCTGTTGATGATGATGACACCGCTGCTGATGATGATGACAATGATGATGCTGCTGCTGATGATGACACTGCTGATGCTGCTGATGATGACACTGCTGATGCTGCTGATGATGACACTGCTGATGATGATGACACTGCTGCTGATGATGATGACACTGCTGCTGTTGATGACACTGCTGATGATGACACTGCTGGTGATGATGATGACTGCTGATGATGCTGCTGCTGCTGATGATGGCACTGCTGCTGATGATGATGACACTGCTGCTGCTGATGATGGCACTGCTGCTGATGATGATGACACTGCTGATGATGACACTGCTGCTGCTGCTGATGACACTGATGATGACACTGATGATGATGACACTGCTGCTGCTGCTGATGATGACACTGATGATGATGCTGCTGCTGATGATGACGCTGCTGCTGATGATGACACTGCTGCTGTTGCTGCTGCTGATGATGATGACACTGCTGATGATGACACTGCTTATGACACTGCTGCTGATGATGACACTACTGCTGATGACACTGCTGATGATACTGATGATGATGCTGCTGCTGCTGCTGATGACACTGCTGCTGCTGCTGACGATGATGATGACACTGCTGCTGCTGATGACACTGATGATGATGACACTGATGATGATGATGAAGACGCTGCTGATGACGATGCTGCTGATGATGACGACGCTGCTGATGACGCTGCTGATGACGACGCTGCTGATGACGCTGCTGATGATAACGCTGCTGATGACGCTGCTGACGACGACGCTGCTGATGACGACGCTGCTGATGACGACGCTGCTGATGACGACGCTGCTGATGACGACGCTGCTGATGACGACGCTGCTGATGACGCTGCTGATGATGACGCTGCTGATGACGACACTGCTGATGACGACGCTGCTGATGACGATGCTGCTGATGATGCTGCTGATGACGACGCTGCTGATGATGACGCTGCTGCTGCTGCTGACGATGATGACACTGCTGCTGCTGATGACATTGATGATGATGACACTGATGATGATGAAGACGCTGCTGATGACGACGCTGATGATGACGACGCTGCTGATGATGACGACGCTGCTGATGACGATGCTGCTGATGACGCTGCTGATGATAACGCTGCTGACGACGACGCTGCTGATGACGACGCTGCTGATGACGACGCTGCTGATGACGACGCTGCTGATGATGACGCTGCTGATGACGACGCTGCTGATGACGCTGCTGATGACGCTGCTGATGACGATGCTGATGACGACGCTGCTGATGACGACGCTGCTGACGACGACGCTGATGATGACGCTGCTGACGACGACGCTGCTGACGACGACGCTGATCACGACGCTGCTGATGACGCTGCTGACGACGACGCTGATGACGACGCTGCTGATGACGACGCTGATGACGACGCTGCTGACGACGACGCTGATGACGACGACGCTGATGACGACGCTGCTGATGACGACGCTGCTGATGACGATGCTGCTGATGACGACGCTGATGACGACGCTGCTGACGACGATGCTGATGACGACGCTGCTGATGACGACGCTGCTGACGATGCTGCTGACGACGACGCTGATGACGACGACGCTGATGACGACGCTGCTGATGACGACGCTGCTGATGACGACGCTGCTGATGACGACGCTGCTGATGACGACGCTGATGACGACGCTGCTGACGACGACGCTGATGACGACGACGCTGATGACGACGCTGCTGATGACGACGCTGCTGATGACGACGCTGCTGACGATGCTGCTGACGACGACGCTGATGACGACGCTGCTGATGACGACGCTGCTGATGACGACGCTGATGATGACGCTGCTGATGACGACGCTGCTGATGACGACGACGCTGATGACGACGCTGATGATGACGCTGCTGATGACGACGCTGCTGATGACGCTGCTGACGATGCTGCTGACGACGACGCTGATGACGACGACGCTGATGACGACGCTGCTGATGACGATGCTGCTGACGACGACGCTGATGACGACGCTGCTGATGACGACGCTGCTGATGACGACGCTGATGATGACGCTGCTGATGACGACGCTGCTGATGACGACGACGCTGATGACGACGCTGATGACGCTGCTGATGACGACGCTGCTGATGACGACGACGCTGATGACGACGCTGCTGACGACGCTGCTGATGACGACGCTGCTGCTGCTGATGATGACACTGCTGCTGCTGATGACGTTGCTGTTGCTGCTGCTGCTGACACTGCTGCTGATGATTACACTGCTGCTGCTGATGATGATGACACTGATGATGATGATACTGATGCTGCTGCTGATGACACTGCTGCTGCTGCTGATGACACTGCTGCTGCTGCTGATGATACTGATGATGATGCTGCTGCTGATGATCATGACACTGCTGCTGCTGATGATGACACTGCTGCTGCTGATGATGACACTGCTGCTGATGATGATGATGACAATGATGATGATGCTGCTGCTGATGATGACACTGCTGATGCTGCTGATGATGACACTGCTGATGATGATGACACTGCTGCTGTTGATGACACTGCTGATGATGACACTGCTGGTGATGATGATGACACTGCTGATGATGCTGCTGCTGCTGATGATGGCACTGCTGCTGCTGATGATGACACTGCTGCTGCTGATGATGGCACTGCTGCTGATGATGATGACACTGCTGCTGCTGATGACACTGCTGATGATGATGACACTGCTGATGATGACACTGCTGCTGCTGCTGCTGATGACACTGATGATGACACTGATGATGATGACACTGCTGCTGCTGCTGCTGATGATGACACTGATGATGATGCTGCTGCTGATGATGACGCTGCTGCTGATGATGACACTGCTGCTGTTGCTGATGATACTGCTGATGATGACACTGCTTATGACACTGCTGCTGATGATGACACTGCTGCTGATGACACTGCTGATGATACTGATGATGATGCTGCTGCTGCTGCTGATGACACTGCTGCTGCTGCTGCTGATGATGATGACGATGATGATGATGACACTGCTGCTGCTGCTGCTGATGACACTGATGATGATGACACTGATGATGATGATGACACTGATGATGATGATGACACTGCTGCTGCTGCTGTGTGTGCCAGCCACACCCGTGGCTGGACGTGAGCGGGCTGGCCCCGGGCTCTCGCTGCCGCGTGTCGGTGCAGGCGGTGAGCGTGCACCGCGCGCTGTGCCTCAGGAGTCTTCACGCTCGCCTCTACTTCACCACGCCGGCACTGACAGCCACCACCACCAACATCACCACCACCACCACCACGGCCACCACGACCACGGCGGCGGCGGCGGCGGTGGCGGAGACAGCGGAGGAGGCTGCGCTGTCGAGCGAAGGTGGTGGTGGTGGTGGTGTTGGTGATGGTGGTGGTGTTGGTGGTGGTGTTGGTGGTGTTGGTGGTGGTGTTGGTGGTGGTGTCGGTGTTGGTGTTAGTGGTGGTGGTGTTTGTGGTGATGGTGGTGGTGGTGTTGGTGGTGGTGTTGGTGGTGGTCATGGTGGTGGTGGTGTTGGTGGTGGTGTTGGTGGTCGTGTTGGTGGTCGTGTTGGTGGTCGTGTTGGTGGTCGTGTTGGTGGTGTTGATGGTAGTGATGGTGGTGATGGTGGTGGTGTTGGTGGTCGTGTTGGTGGTGGTGTTGGTGGTGTTGGTGGTGTTGGTGGTGATGGTGGTGATGGTGGTGGTGTTGGTGGTGGTGTTGGTGGTCGTGTTGGTGGTGGTGTTGGTGGTGTTGGTGGTGGTGTTGGTGGTGGTGATACCCACTCAGCTCTTTCTCAGAAGCGCCCTGGGCCATCACAAATGACAACTCAACAAAGCGGCTTGCTTACTACCACTACCATCACCACCACAACCACTACCATCACCACAACCACCATCACCACAACCACCACCACCATCACCACAACCACCACCACCATCACCACCACCATCATGACCACCACCATCATGACCACCACCATCACCACCACCACCATCACCACAACCACCATCACCACAACCACCACGATCACCACCACCATCACCACCACCACAACCACCATCACCACAACCACCACCATCACCATCACCACCACCATCACCACCATCACCATCACCACCATCACCATCACCACCATCACCACCACCATCATCACCACCACCACCACCAACACCATCACCCTCATCACAACCACCACCACCATTACCATCACCACAACCACCATCACCACCACCACCATCACCACAACCACCATCATCACCACAACCACCATTACCACAACCAGCACCACCATCACCACAACCACTATCATCACCACAACCACCACCACCACAACCACCACCATCATCATCACGTGGACATTCACGGCAACAGCCAGACTCTCTGAACGCCGTGGTGACGTCGATTCTAAAATATAGAGCAGCAGGCGTCGTCAGGGTCGGGATCGAACACACGACCTCCTGCATCCCAGGAGAGGTAGTTAACATCTCCTAGGCAACGTGATGATGATTAGAGAGAGACGCAGACTCCAAATCTACAGCAGCAGGCATCATCAGGGTCGGGATCGAACCCACGACCTCCTGCGTACCAGGTGAGGTAGTCAACATCTCCTAGCCACTGTGATGATGATGAAAGAGAGACACGCAAACTCCAAATATACAGCAGCAGCAGCAGGCGTCGTCAGGGTCGGGATTGAACCCACGACCTCCTGTACACCTGGCGAGGTAGTCGACATCTCCTGGACACCGTGATGATGATGATGAGAGAGAGAGAGACGCAGACTCCACATAACACAGCAGCTGAGTGAACGGAACGGCCTTGCCCCCCCCCCTCTCCGCAGGTTCCATCCCCGCCCGGGATGTGGGGGGCTTGGTGGGGGGGTCGCCCCCCACCTCCCCCGGCAGCGTGTGGGGGGAGGGCCCCACCGTGCACGGGGTTCGGGTTGGAGCCCCCTTCTACAGGGAGAGGCAGCTCCGGGCCAAGGTGGAGTGGGAGACGGACGTCAATGGTGAGTGGGTGGGTTGGTGGGTTGGGTTGGTGGTGGGTGGGTTGGTGGGTGGGTTGGTGGGTGGGTGGGTTGGTGGGTGGGTGGGTTGGTTGGTGGGTTGGTGGGTTGGTGGGTTGGTGGGTTGGTGGGTGGGTTGGTGGTGGGTGGGTGGGTTGGTGGTGGGTGGGTTGGGTTGGTGGGTGAGTTGGTGGGTTGGTGGGTGGATGGGTGGGTGGATGGGTGGATGGGTGGGTGGGTTGGTGGGCGGCTGGGCGGGTTGGTGGGCGGCTGGGCGGGTTGGTGGGTGGGTGAGTTGGTGGGTGGGTGGCTGGGTGAGTTGGTGGCTGGGTGAGTTGGTGGGTGGGTGGCTGGGTGAGTTGGTGGGTGGGTGGCTGGGCGAGTTGGTGGGTGGGTGGGTTGCTGGGTGAGTTGGTGGCTGTGTGAGTTTGTGGGTGGGTGGCTGGGTGAGTTGGTGGCTGGGCGAGTTGGTGGGTGGGTGAGTTGGTGGGTGGGTGGCTGGGCGAGTTGGTGGCTGGGCGAGTTGGTGGGTGGGTGGCTGGGTGAGTTGGTGGGTGGGTGAGTTGGTGGGTGGGTGGCTGGGTGAGTTGGTGGGTGGGTGAGTTGTTGGCTGGGTGGCTGGGCGAGTTGGTGGCTGGGCGAGTTGGTGGGTGGGTGGCTGGGCGAGTTGGTGGCTGGGCGAGTTGGTGGGTTGGTGAGTTGGTGGGTGGGTGGCTGGGCGAGTTGGTGGCTGGGTGAGTTGGTGGGTGGGTGAGTTGGTGGGTGAGTTGGTGGGTGGGTGGCTGGGTGAGTTGGTGGGTGGGTGAGTTGGTGGGTGGGTGGCTGGGTGAGTTGGTGGGTGGGTGGCTGGGCGAGTTGGTGGCTGGGCGAGTTGGTGGCTGGGTGAGTTGGTGGGTGGGTGGCTGGGTGAGTTGGTGGGTGGGTGGCTGGGTGAGTTGGTGGGTGGGTGGTTGGGCGAGTTGGTGGCTGGGTGAGTTGGTGGGTGGGTGGTTGGGCGAGTTGGTGGCTGGGTGAGTTGGTGGGTGGGTGGTTGGGTGAGTTGGTGGCTGGGCGAGTTGGTGGGTGGGTGGCTGGGCGAGTTGGTGGCTGGGCGAGTTGGTGGGTTGGTGAGTTGGTGGGTGGGTGGCTGGGCGAGTTGGTGGGTGGGTGAGTTGGTGGGTGGGTGAGTTGGTGGGTGGGTGAGTTGGTGGGTGGGTGGCTGGGTGAGTTGGTGGCTTGGTGGCTGGGTGGCTGGGCGAGTTGGTGGCTGGGTGAGTTGGTGGGTGAGTGAGTGGTGGCTGGGTGGGTGGGTGCGTGGGTGGCTGGGTGAGTTGGTGGCTGGGTGAGTTGGTGGGTGGGTGAGTTGGTGGGTGGGTGGCTGGGTGAGTTGGTGGGTGGGTGAGTTGGTGCGTGGGTGGCTGGGTGAGTTGGTGGGTGGGTGAGTTGGTGGCTGGGTGGCTGGGTGAGTTGGTGGCTGGGTGAGTTGGTGGCTGGGTGAGTTGGTGGGTGGGTGGCTGGGCGAGTTGGTGGGTGGGTGAGTTGGTGGGTGGGTGGCTGGGTGAGTTGGTGGGTGGATGAGTTGGTGGGTGGGTGGCTGGGTGAGTTGGTGGGTGGATGAGTTGGTGGGTGGGTGGCTGGGTGAGTTGGTGGGTGGGTGAGTTGGTGGGTGGGTGGCTGGGTGAGTTGGTGGGTGGGTGAGTTGGTGCGTGGGTGGCTGGGTGAGTTGGTGGCTGGGTGAGTTGGTGGGTGGGTGGCTGGGCGAGTTGGTGGCTGGGTGAGTTGGTGGGGGGGTGGGCGAGTTGGTGTCTGGGCGAGTTGGTGGCTGGGTGAGTTGGTGGGTGGGTGGTTGGGCGAGTTGGTGGCTGGGTGAGTTGGTGGGTGGGTGGTTGGGCGAGTTGGTGGCTGGGTGAGTTGGTGGGTGGGTGGGTGGGTGAGTTGGTGGCTGGGTGAGTTGGTGGGTGGGTGGGTGAGTTGGTGGGTGGGTGGTTGGGCGAGTTGGTGGCTGGGTGAGTTGGTGGGTGGGTGGTTGGGCCAGTTGGTGGCTGGGTGCGTTGGTGGGTGGGTGGTTGGGTGAGTTGGTGGCTGGGCGAGTTGGTGGGTGGGTGGCTGGGCGAGTTGGTGGCTGGGCGAGTCGGTGGGTTGGTGAGTTGGTGGGTGGGTGGCTGGGCGAGTTGGTGGCTGGGCGAGTTGGTGGGTGGGTGGCTGGGTGAGTTGGTGGGTGGGTGAGTTGGTGGGTGGGTGGCTGGGTGAGTTGGTGGGTGGGTGAGTTGGTGGGTGGGTGAGTTGGTGGGTGGGTGGCTGGGTGAGTTGGTGGCTTGGTGGCTGGGTGGATGGGCGAGTTGGTGGCTGGGTGAGTTGGTGGGTGGGTGAGTTGGTGGCTGGGTGGCTGGGTGAGTTGGTGGCTGGGTGAGTTGGTGGATGGGTGAGTTGGTGGGTGGGTGGCTGGGCGAGTTGGTGGCTGGGTGAGTTGGTGGGTGGGTGAGTTGGTGGGTGGGTGGCTGGGTGAGTTGGTGGGTGGGTGAGTTGGTGGGTGGGTGGCTGGGTGTGTTGGTGGGTGGGTGAGTTGGTGCGTGGGTGGCTGGGTGAGTTGGTGGCTGGGTGAGTTGGTGGGTGGGTGAGTTGGTGGGTGGGTGGCTGGGTGAGTTGGTGGGTTGGTGAGTTGGTGGGTGGGTGGCTGGGTGAGTTGGTGGGTGGGTGAGTTGGTGCGTGGGTGGCTGGGTGAGTTGGTGGCTGGTGAGTTGGTGGGTGGGTGGCTGGGCGAGTTGGTGGCTGGGTGAGTTGGTGGGTGGGTGGGCGAGTTGGTGGGTGGGCGAGTTGGTGGGTGGCTGGGCGAGTTGGTGGGTGGCTGGGCGAGTTGGTGGCTGGGTGAGTTGGTGGGTGGTTGGGCGAGTTGGTGGCTGGGTGAGTTGGTGGGTGGGTGGTTGGGCGAGTTGGTGGCTGGGTGAGTTGGTGGGTGGGTGGTTGGGTGAGTTGGTGGCTGGGTGAGTTGGTGGGTGGGTGGCTGGGTGAGTTGGTGGGTGGGTGGTTGGGCGAGTTGGTGGCTGGGTGAGTTGGTGGGTGGTTGGGCGAGTTGGTGGCTGGGTGAGTTGGTGGGTGGGTGGTTGGGTGAGTTGGTGGGTGGGTGGCTGGGTGAGTTGGTGGGTGGGTGAGTTGGTGGGTGGGTGGCTGGGTGAGTTGGTGGGTGGGTGGCTGGGCGAGTTGGTGGGTGGGTGGGTTGCTGGGTGAGTTGGTGGCTGTGTGAGTTTGTGGGTGGGTGGCTGGGTGAGTTGGTGGCTGGGCGAGTTGGTGGGTGGGTGAGTTGGTGGGTGGGTGGCTGGGCGAGTTGGTGGCTGGGCGAGTTGGTGGGTGGGTGGCTGGGTGAGTTGGTGGGTGGGTGAGTTGGTGGGTGGGTGGCTGGGTGAGTTGGTGGGTGGGTGAGTTGTTGGCTGGGTGGCTGGGCGAGTTGGTGGCTGGGCGAGTTGGTGGGTGGGTGGCTGGGCGAGTTGGTGGCTGGGCGAGTTGGTGGGTTGGTGAGTTGGTGGGTGGGTGGCTGGGCGTGTTGGTGGCTGGGTGAGTTGGTGGGTGGGTGAGTTGGTGGGTGAGTTGGTGGGTGGGTGGCTGGGTGAGTTGGTGGGTGGGTGAGTTGGTGGGTGGGTGGCTGGGTGAGTTGGTGGGTGGGTGGCTGGGCGAGTTGGTGGCTGGGCGAGTTGGTGGCTGGGTGAGTTGGTGGGTGGGTGGTTGGGTGAGTTGGTGGGTGGGTGGCTGGGTGAGTTGGTGGGTGGGTGGTTGGGCGAGTTGGTGGCTGGGTGAGTTGGTGGGTGGGTGGTTGGGCGAGTTGGTGGCTGGGTGAGTTGGTGGGTGGGTGGTTGGGTGAGTTGGTGGCTGGGCGAGTTGGTGGGTGGGTGGCTGGGCGAGTTGGTGGCTGGGCGAGTTGGTGGGTTGGTGAGTTGGTGGGTGGGTGGCTGGGCGAGTTGGTGGGTGGGTGAGTTGGTGGGTGGGTGAGTTGGTGGGTGGGTGAGTTGGTGGGTGGGTGGCTGGGTGAGTTGGTGGCTTGGTGGCTGGGTGGCTGGGCGAGTTGGTGGCTGGGTGAGTTGGTGGGTGAGTGAGTTGGTGGCTGGGTGGCTGGGTGCGTGGGTGGCTGGGTGAGTTGGTGGCTGGGTGAGTTGGTGGGTGGGTGAGTTGGTGGGTGGGTGGCTGGGTGAGTTGGTGGGTGGGTGAGTTGGTGCGTGGGTGGCTGGGTGAGTTGGTGGGTGGGTGAGTTGGTGGCTGGGTGGCTGGGTGAGTTGGTGGCTGGGTGAGTTGGTGGCTGGGTGAGTTGGTGGGTGGGTGGCTGGGCGAGTTGGTGGGTGGGGTGAGTTGGTGGGTGGGTGGCTGGGTGAGTTGGTGGGTGGATGAGTTGGTGGGTGGGTGGCTGGGTGAGTTGGTGGGTGGATGAGTTGGTGGGTGGGTGGCTGGGTGAGTTGGTGGGTGGGTGCGTTGGTGGGTGGGTGGCTGGGTGAGTTGGTGGGTGGGTGAGTTGGTGCGTGGGTGGCTGGGTGAGTTGGTGGCTGGGTGAGTTGGTGGGTGGGTGGCTGGGCGAGTTGGTGGCTGGGTGAGTTGGTGGGTGGGTGGGCGAGTTGGTGTCTGGGGGAGTGGGTGGGTGGGTGAGTTGGTGGGTGGGTGGTTGGGCGAGTTGGTGGCTGGGTGAGTTGGTGGGTGGGTGGTTGGGCCAGTTGGTGGCTGGGTGAGTTGGTGGGTGGGTGGTTGGGTGAGTTGGTGGCTGGGTGAGTTGGTGGGTGGGTGGGTGAGTTGGTGGGTGGGTGGTTGGGCGAGTTGGTGGCTGGGTGAGTTGGTGGGTGGGTGGTTGGGCCAGTTGGTGGGTGGGTGAGTTGGTGGGTGGGTGGTTGGGTGAGTTGGTGGCTGGGCGAGTTGGTGGGTGGGTGGCTGGGCGAGTTGGTGGCTGGGCGAGTCGGTGGGTTGGTGAGTTGGTGGGTGGGTGGCTGGGCGAGTTGGTGGCTGGGCGAGTTGGTGGGTGGGTGGCTGGGTGAGTTGGTGGGTGGGTGAGTTGGTGGGTGGGTGGCTGGGTGAGTTGGTGGGTGGGTGAGTTGGTGGGTGGGTGAGTTGGTGGGTGGGTGGCTGGGTGAGTTGGTGGCTTGGTGGCTGGGTGGATGGGCGAGTTGGTGGCTGGGTGAGTTGGTGGGTGGGTGAGTTGGTGGCTGGGTGGCTGGGTGAGTTGGTGGCTGGGTGAGTTGGTGGCTGGGTGAGTTGGTGGGTGGGTGGCTGGGCGAGTTGGTGGCTGGGTGAGTTGGTGGGTGGGTGAGTTGGTGGGTGGGTGGCTGGGTGAGTTGGTGGGTGGGTGAGTTGGTGGGTGGGTGGCTGGGTGAGTTGGTGGGTGGGTGAGTTGGTGCGTGGGTGGCTGGGTGAGTTGGTGGCTGGGTGAGTTGGTGGGTGGGTGAGTTGGTGGGTGGGTGGCTGGGTGAGTTGGTGGGTTGGTGAGTTGGTGGGTGGGTGGCTGGGTGAGTTGGTGGGTGGGTGAGTTGGTGCGTGGGTGGCTGGGTGAGTTGGTGGCTGGGTGAGTTGGTGGGTGGGTGGCTGGGCGAGTTGGTGGCTGGGTGAGTTGGTGGGTGGGTGGGCGAGTTGGTGTCTGGGCGAGTTGGTGGGTGGCTGGGCGAGTTGGTGGGTGGCTGGGCGAGTTGGTGGCTGGGTGAGTTGGTGGGTGGTTGGGCGAGTTGGTGGCTGGGTGAGTTGGTGGGTGGGTGGTTGGGTGAGTTGGTGGCTGGGTGAGTTGGTGGGTGGGTGGTTGGGTGAGTTGGTGGCTGGGTGAGTTGGTGGGTGGGTGGCTGGGTGAGTTGGTGGGTGGGTGGTTGGGCGAGTTGGTGGCTGGGTGAGTTGGTGGGTGGTTGGGCGAGTTGGTGGCTGGGTGAGTTGGTGGGTGGGTGGTTGGGTGTGTTGGTGGCTGGGTGAGTTGGTGGGTGGGTGGCTGGGCGAGTTGGTGGCTGGGTGAGTTGGTGGGTGGGCGAGTTGGTGGCTGGGTGAGTTGGTGGGTGAGTTGGTGGGTGAGTTGGTGGGTGGGTGGCTGGGCGAGTTGGTGTCTGGGCGAGTTGGTGGGTGGCTGGGTGAGTTGGTGGCTGGGTGAGTTGGTGGGTGGGTGGCTGGGTGAGTTGGTGGGTGGGTGGCTGGGCGAGTTGGGGGCTGGGTGAGTTGGTGGGTGGGTGGCTGGGCGAGTTGGTGGCTGGGCGAGTTGGTGGGTGGGTGGCTGGGTGAGTTGGTGGCTGGGTGAGTTGGTGGGTGGGTGGGTGGGTGTCTGGGTGAGTTGGTGGGTGGGTGGCTGGGTGAGTTGGTGGGTGGGTGAGTTGGTGGCTGGGTGAGTTGGTGGGTAGGTGGCTGATGGGTTGGTGGGTGGGTGGGCGAGTTGGTGGGTGGGTGAGTTGGTGCGTGAGTTGGTGGCTGGGTGAGTTGGTGGCTGGGCGAGTTGGTGTCTGGATGAGTTGCAGGGGTGGGTGTCTGGGTGAGTTGGTGGGTGGGTGGGTGGCTGGGCGAGTTGGTGGGTGGGTGAGTTGGTGGGTGGGTGGCTGGGTGAGTTGGTGGGTGGATGAGTTGGTGGGTGGGTGGCTGGGTGAGTTGGTGGGTGGATGAGTTGGTGGGTGGGTGGCTGGGTGAGTTGGTGGGTGAGTTGGTGGGTGGGTGGCTGGGTGAGTTGGTGGGTGGGTGAGTTGGTGCGTGGGTGGCTGGGTGAGTTGGTGGCTGGGTGAGTTGGTGGGTGGGTGGCTGGGCGAGTTGGTGGCTGGGTGAGTTGGTGGGTGGGTGGGCGAGTTGGTGTCTGGGCGAGTTGGTGGCTGGGTGAGTTGGTGGGTGGGTGGTTGGGCGAGTTGGTGGCTGGGTGAGTTGGTGGGTGGGTGGTTGGGCGAGTTGGTGGCTGGGTGAGTTGGTGGGTGGGTGGTTGGGTGAGTTGGTGGCTGGGTGAGTTGGTGGGTGGGTGGGTGAGTTGGTGGGTGGGTGGTTGGGCGAGTTGGTGGCTGGGTGAGTTGGTGGGTGGGTGGTTGGGCCAGTTGGTGGCTGGGTGAGTTGGTGGGTGGGTGGTTGGGTGAGTTGGTGGCTGGGCGAGTTGGTGGGTGGGTGGCTGGGCGAGTTGGTGGCTGGGCGAGTCGGTGGGTTGGTGAGTTGGTGGGTGGGTGGCTGGGCGAGTTGGTGGCTGGGCGAGTTGGTGGGTGGGTGGCTGGGTGAGTTGGTGGGTGGGTGAGTTGGTGGGTGGGTGGCTGGGTGAGTTGGTGGGTGGGTGAGTTGGTGGGTGGGTGAGTTGGTGGGTGGGTGGCTGGGTGAGTTGGTGGGTGGGTGAGTTGGTGGGTGGGTGGCTGGGTGAGTTGGTGGCTTGGTGGCTGGGTGGATGGGCGAGTTGGTGGCTGGGTGAGTTGGTGGGTGGGTGAGTTGGTGGCTGGGTGGCTGGGTGAGTTGGTGGCTGGGTGAGTTGGTGGCTGGGTGAGTTGGTGGGTGGGTGGCTGGGCGAGTTGGTGGCTGGGTGAGTTGGTGGGTGGGTGAGTTGGTGGGTGGGTGGCTGGGTGAGTTGGTGGGTGGGTGAGTTGGTGGGTGGGTGGCTGGGTGAGTTGGTGGGTGGGTGAGTTGGTGCGTGGGTGGCTGGGTGAGTTGGTGGCTGGGTGAGTTGGTGGGTGGGTGGCTGGGCGAGTTGGTGGCTGGGTGAGTTGGTGGGTGGGTGGGCGAGTTGGTGTCTGGGCGAGTTGGTGGGTGGCTGGGCGAGTTGGTGGGTGGCTGGGCGAGTTGGTGGCTGGGTGAGTTGGTGGGTGGGTGGGCGAGTTGGTGGCTGGGTGAGTTGGTGGGTGGGTGGTTGGGCGAGTTGGTGGCTGGGTGAGTTGGTGGGTGGGTGGTTGGGTGAGTTGGTGGCTGGGTGAGTTGGTGGGTGGGTGGCTGGGTGAGTTGGTGGGTGGGTGGTTGGGCGAGTTGGTGGCTGGGTGAGTTGGTGGGTGGTTGGGCGAGTTGGTGGCTGGGTGAGTTGGTGGGTGGGTGGTTGGGTGAGTTGGTGGCTGGGTGAGTTGGTGGGTGGGTGGCTGGGCGAGTTGGTGGCTGGGTGAGTTGGTGGGTGGGCGAGTTGGTGGCTGGGTGAGTTGGTGGGTGAGTTGGTGGGTGGGTGGCTGGGCGAGTTGGTGTCTGGGCGAGTTGGTGGGTGAGTTGGTGGCTGGGTGAGTTGGTGGGTGGGTGGCTGGGTGAGTTGGTGGGTGGGTGGCTGGGCGAGTTGGGGGCTGGGTGAGTTGGTGGGTGGGTGGCTGGGCGAGTTGGTGGCTGGGCGAGTTGGTGGGTGGGTGGCTGGGTGAGTTGGTGGCTGGGTGAGTTGGTGGGTGGGTGTCTGGGTGAGTTGGTGGGTGGGTGGCTGGGTGAGTTGGTGGGTGGGTGAGTTGGTGGCTGGGTGAGTTGGTGGGTAGGTGGCTGATGGGTTGGTGGGTGGGTGGGCGAGTTGGTGGGTGGGTGAGTTGGTGCGTGAGTTGGTGGCTGGGTGAGTTGGTGGCTGGGCGAGTTGGTGTCTGGATGAGTTGCAGGGGTGGGTGTCTGGGTGAGTTGGTGGGTGGGTGGGTGGCTGGGCGAGTTGGTGGGTGGGTGAGTTGGTGGCTGGGTGAGTTGGTGTCTGGGCGAGTTGGTGGGTGGGTGGGTGTCTGGGTGAGTTGGTGGGTGGGTGGCTGGGTGAGTTGGTGGGTGGGTGGGTGGCTGGGTGAGTGGGTGGGTGGCTGGGTGAGTTGGTGGGTGGGTGGCTGGGCGAGTTGGTGGGTGAGTTGGTGGGTGGGCGAGTTGGTGGGTGGGGGTGGCTGGGTGAGTTGGTGGGTGGGTGAGTTTGTGGGTGGGTGGCTGGGTGAGTTGGTGGCTGGGTGGCTGGGTGAGTTGGTGGATGGGTGAGTTGGTGGCTGGGTGAGTTGGTGGCTGGGTGAGTTTGTGGCTGGGTGAGTTGGTGTCTGGGCGAGTTGGTGGGTGGGTGGGTGGCTGGGCGAGTTGGTGGGTGGGTGGGTGGCTGGGCGAGTTGGTGGGTGGGTGGGTGGCTGGGCGAGTTGGTGGGTGTCTGGGCGAGTTGCTGGGTGGGTGGGTGGCTGCGTATTGGCTGGGAGACGTTGGCCGCGGTCGACGATGTTGATTTGTGCGACGACTCTCGGCAGCCGTGCAGGGGGCGGCCGGCGCTGCATCGACGTCGCCGCGGTTCCTGGTCCGCTGGACGTCGGAGTCGTGCGCCGGGGGCGTCCCCCAGCACTCGCACCTCGTCCTCACCCAGGTCCGGTCCCCTCTCGGACAAGCCCGCTGACGCTGGCGCAACCAGAGCCGTGGCTCGCGCGGTTTTTACTGTCCCCGGCCGGCGCACGCGGGCTCGAAGCGTGCAGCGGCAGGATTCGCCGGGGTCGGGATGGAACCCACGACCTCCTGTGTACCAGGCGAGGTAGTCAACATCTCCCGGCCGCCGTGGTGGTGGTGGTGGTGATGAGAGAGAGACACGCAAACTCAAAATATTTCAGCAGCAGCAGCAGGCTTTGTCAGGGTCGGGACCGAACACACGACCTCCTGCGTACCAGGCGAGGTCGTCAACATCTCCATAGCTACCGTGGTGATGATGATGATGATGAGGGAGAGACACGCAAACTCCAGATATTTCAGCAGCAGCAGCAGCAGGCTTTGTCAGGTTCGGGACCGAACACACGACCTCCTGCGTACCAGGCGAGGTCGTCAACATCTCCTAGCTACTGTAATGATGATGAGAGAGAGACACGCAGACTCCAAATATACAGCAGCAGCAGGCTTTGTCAGGGTCGGGACCGAACCCACGACCTCCTGTGTACCAGGCGAGGTAGTCAACATCTCCCTAGCCACCGTGATGTTAACTGGGGGCTCCCCCCCCCCCCACCCACCACCCCCTCACCCCCCCCCCCCCCCCACCCCAACAGGAACGGTGGCTGCTGCTCAACTGGCTGCACCTGGGCTGTTCCTATCGGGTCAACGTCTCCCCCTCCTCCCCCTCCGCGGTTGCCGGGGGCGACGGCCCCCCTTCCTCCTCCGCGGTTGCCGGGGGCGACGGCGGCCCCCACGTCTCCACGGCGACCGCCTCCTTCTCCACCCCGCCCTGCCTGGAGACGGGGAGGCTGCGGCCTTCTGGGTTAAAGGTCACGGCCGCCACCCTTGCTCCATCGCGGCAGGTGAGGTGGTGGCTGGGAGATGTTGACTACCTCGCCCGGTACGCGGGAGGTCGTGGGTTCCGATCACAGACCCTCATGGTACCTGTGTCAGGAGAGATGTTGACTACCTCGCCCGGTGCGCGGGAGGTCGTGGGTTCCGATCACAGACCCTCACGGTACCTGTGTCAGGAGAGATGTTGACTACCTCGCCCGGTACGCGGGAGGTCGTGGGTTCCGATCACAGACCCTCAAGGTACCTGTGTCAGGAGAGATGTTGACTACCTCGCCCGGTGCGCGGGAGGTCGTGGGTTCCGATCACAGACCGTCACGGTACCTGTGTCAGGAGAGATGTTGACTACCTCGCCCGGTACGCGGGAGGTCGTGGGTTCCGATCACAGACCGTCACGGTGCCCGTGCCAGGAGAGATGTTGACTACCTCGCCCGGTACGCGGGAGGTCGTGGGTTCCGATCACAGACCCTCATGGTACCTGTGTCAGGAGAGATGTTGACTACCTCGCCCGGTACGCGGGAGGTCGTGGGTTCCGATCTCAGACCGTCACGGTGCCCGTGCCAGGAGAGATGTTGACTACCTCGCCCGGTACGCGGGAGGTCGTGGGTTCCGATCACAGACCCTCACGGTACCTGTGTCAGGAGAGATGTTGACTACCTCGCCCGGTACGCGGGAGGTCGTGGGTTCCGATCACAGACCCTCACGGTACCCGTGTCAGGAGAGATGTTGACTACCTCGCCCGGTACGCGGGAGATCGTGGGTTCCGATCACAGACCGTAACGGTGCCCGCGCCAGGAGAGATGTTGACTACCTCGCCCGGTACGCGGGAGGTCGTGGGTTCCGATCACAGACCGTCACGATGCCCGTGTCAGGAGAGATGTTGACTACCTCGCCCGGTACGCGGGAGGTCGTGGGTTCCGATCACAGACCCTCACGGTACCTGTGTCAGGAGAGATGTTGACTACCTCGCCCGGTACGCGGGAGGTCGTGGGTTCCGATCACAGACCCTCACGGTACCTGTGTCAGGAGAGATGTTGACTACCTCGCCCGGTACGCGGGAGGTCGTGGGTTCCGATCACAGACCCTCACGGTACCTGTGTCAGGAGAGATGTTGACTACCTCGCCCGGTACGCGGGAGGTCGTGGGTTCCGATCACAGACCCTCACGGTACCTGTGTCAGGAGAGATGTTGACTACCTCGCCCGGTACGCGGGAGGTCGTGGGTTCCGATCTCAGACCCTCACGGTACCTGTGTCAGGAGAGATGTTGACTACCTCGCCCGGTACGCGGGAGGTCGTGGGTTCCGATCACAGTCCCTCACGGTACCTGTGTCAGGAGAGATGTTGACTACCTCGCCCGGTACGCGGGAGGTCGTGGGTTCCGATCACAGTCCGTCACGGTGCCCGTGTCAGGAGAGATGTTGACTACCTCGCTCGGTACGCGGGAGGTCGTGGGTTCCGATCACAGTCCGTCACGGTGCCCGTGTCAGGAGAGATGTTGACTACCTCGCCCGGTACGCGGGAGGTCGTGGGTTCCGATCACAGACCCTCACGGTACCTGTGTCAGGAGAGATGTTGACTACCTCGCCCGGTACGCGGGAGGTCGTGGGTTCCGGTCACAGACCGTCACGGTGCCCGCGCCAGGAGAGATGTTGACTACCTCGCCCGGTACGCGGGAGGTCGTGGGTTCCGATCACAGACCGTCACGGTGCCCGCGCCAGGAGAGATGTTGACTACCTCGCCCGGTACGCGGGAGGTCGTGGGTTCCGATCACAGACCCTGACGATGCCCGTGTCAGGAGAGATGTTGACTACCTCGCCCGGTACGCGGGAGGTCGTGGGTTCCGATCACAGACCCTCACGGTACCTGTGTCAGGAGAGATGTTGACTACCTCGCCCGGTACGCGGGAGGTCGTGGGTTCCGATCACAGACCCTCACGGTACCTGTGTCAGGAGAGATGTTGACTACCTCGCCCGGTACGCGGGAGGTCGTGGGTTCCGATCACAGACCGTCACGGTGCCCGCGCCAGGAGAGATGTTGACTACCTCGCCCGGTACGCGGGAGGTCGTGGGTTCCGATCACAGACCGTCACGGTGCCCGCGCCAGGAGAGATGTTGACTACCTCGCCCGGTACGCGGGAGGTCGTGGGTTCCGATCACAGACCGTAACGGTGCCCGCGTCAGGAGAGATGTTGACTACCTCGCCCGGTACGCGGGAGGTCGTGGGTTCTGATCACAGACCCTCACGGTACCTGTGTCAGGAGAGATGTTGACTACCTCGCCCGGTACGCGGGAGGTTGTGGGTTCCGATCACAGACCCTCACGATGGCCGTGCCAGGAGAGATGTTGACTACCTCGCCCGGTACGCGGGAGGTCGTGGGTTCAATCCCTACCCTGACGATACGTGCTGCTGCTGCTGTATATTTGTCCCTCTCCCCCTCTCCCTGTGGCCGCGTTTGCTCGCCGATAAACTTTTCACCGATTCACACCGCCAGCGGACGAGACCCCGGGCGCGCGGGTCCGGGACATCTCCGCCGCCTTCACGTTCGACGGAGCCCACCTGACGGGTCGCTTCGATTGGCTGCTGGCGGCGCCGCCCCCGCCGGCCCGGCCAATCGCGGGCTTCCAGGCGACGTGGACCCGGCTGTCGCCGGGGGGCGGCGGCGGCGGCGCCGGCGAGGCGGCCAATAGCGTCGTCTCGCAGTCCCGGATCCTCCCGCCGGTGAGGACCAATCGCGGCCACCGCAGCGTGTGCCACAGGGCCGTGCGACGCTCGTCGCCGCCGCTGCCGCCGCCCCCCTCGTCACGATACCCCCCCCCCCCCCCCCCCCCCCCCGCCCGGTGCCGCCCCTACCCAGGCGAGGCCTTGGATGGTGTTGCCGGGCCTGCGTGCCGGGCAGCTCTACCGACTCACGGTGGTGCCCGTGTGGTCGGGGCCCGGCGGTGGCGGCGGTGGCGGCGGCGGTGCCAGCCGCGTCTTCCGCACGCCGCTGATGCCCAGCAGCAGCAGCAGTAGCAGCAGCAGTACGATATCATAATCATCATCACCGGCATCACCACCGACATCGTCATCATCATCACCAACATCATCACCAACATCATCACCAACATCATCATCATCATCACCAACATCATCACCAACATCATCATAATCATCACCAACATCATCATCATCACCAACATCATCATCATCACCATCATCACCAACATTATCATCATCACCAACATTATCATCATCACCAACATCATCACCACCACCACCATCATCATCACCAACATCATCACCAACATCATCACCACCATCATCATCACCAACACCATCATAATCATTACCAACATCACCACCACCATCATCACCACCATCATCATCACCAACATCATCATCACCACCAAAATTATCATCATCACCAACATCATCATCATCACCACCACCACCAACATTATCATCATCATCATCACCAACATTATCATCATCATCATCACCAACATCATCACCAACATCATCACCACCGCCATCATCATCACCACCAACATTGCCTGTATCAGCATCGTCATCATCATAAGTAGTGGCAACAAGTCTCCTATCTCCCTCTGTGCGTATCTCTGTGTGTGTGTCTGTATCTATGTGTCTGTCTCATTTGGGGGGTCCACGTTTCGCAAGCGTAGAGAAGGGAGGGAATGACCGTGGCCGAGAAGACCTGAAGCTTAGTGTGGAGCGACAGACCAGGTAGCTTCCACACAGCGTTACGCAACCGATGAAAATATATTGCCGCTCGACTGATTCGGAGTGAGACCTCTGCTGTTAAACTGGAGCCGGCCATGAGCACACTGCCCAGGTATGGGAAACTCTCCACTCTCTCCACAACTGCCCCATCATCGATTGGGAGTTGTGGGGGTGGAGTGTCCGATGGAACAAAATACCCAGGCAGGTGCTTAGTTTTGGTGGGGCTGATGGTAAGGCCCCACCTCTTAGTGGCACGCTCCAGTCTCAGCAGCAGTGTCTCCAACTCCTCTTCTGAATGACCAGCAATTACCAAATCATCGGCATGCATAACGTGGTTGAGCAATAGGGAGCCATCCCTTGACTGCACCCGGGCATCGATCAGCCTCCCATTGTATCTGTACCAAATGGAAATCCCCCGGTACAGCTATTGAAGGCTTCACGAACTACGTGGTCAAAATAGATGTTAAATAATGTGGGAGCCAGAGGACATCCCTGTTGCACTCCAAGGTGTACAGGGAATGGCTCTAACTCCCGGCCACGTAGTTTTACCCGGGCCCGCTCACCATCATGAAGGTCCTTAATGATCGTGAGCAGAGGGTCAGGTACTCCAAAAGCACGAAGAACAACGCAGATTCCAGGCCTACTGATGGTATCATAGGCCTTGACCAGGTCAGAAACATTTAAGCTGGCCTGCCTACGATCCATCCTGGGTTTAACCAGGCTGGATTGTGTGAGGAGCTCACAAATCCTTGAAAGATCTGGACAAGGTCCCATCGGTGAGCTCCTCCGGCAGGCAAGGCTGCGTTGACTGGGCCATGTAGCCCGCATGCCCAGCCACCGCATGCCGAAACAGGGGGCTAAACGGGCGCGGTACGGGCTAGAGAAGAGATGGAGTGATGTGGTACAGGAGGACGTGGAGCTGAGTGGACTTGCCGATGACTGGTACCAGCGGTGTCAAGATCGGCCTCTGGAGGAGGCTCGTGAAGGACGCTACTGGGCAGTTGGAGGCAGTCGCCCTCCAACAACAACGGAGGGCGGAGGAGCGACGCTCACAACAATGAGCGGAGCGCCGGTTGGCTAAAGCACAGCAGGTTGGCACAGTAGGGGGAACAGGTGGTGCATCAGCCAGTCATCTCAGTCAGTCGACCCGTGGCACCTGGGTCTGCCCCGTCACCTCCTGCCAGCGGGCGTTCGACACTTCACGTGGTAGCCTCAAGGTGCACATGGCCTGGCACAAGCGTCGTGGTGACGTCACCACCACTTAGTGGCGAATGGCGGTTGTTTTTGTCTCACTGTGTGTGTGTCTCATTGTGTCTCCGTCTCACCGTGTGTGTCTCACCGTGTCTCACTGTGTGTGTCTCATTGTGTGTGTCTCACCGTGTGTGTCTCCGTCTCACTGTATGTGTGTCTCACCGTGTGTGTGTGTCTCACTGTGTGTGTGTCTCACCGTGTGTGTCTCACTGTGTGTGTGTATCACTGTGTGTGTGTCTCACTGTGTGTCTCACTGTGTGTATGTCTCACTGTGTCTCCGTCTCACCGTGTGTGTCTCACTGTGTCTCACTGTGTGTGTCTCACCGTGTGTGTGTCTCACTGTGTCTCCGTCTCACCGTGTGTGTGTCTCTGTCTCTCTTACAGGAGAAAGAAAACAGAAGCACAATGCAATAATAAACGCAGTTAAAGTGGCTCACTAATAGCAACATCCTCACACACAAAGACACAGATCCCCCGTATAGCCTTAACAGACTGTAGGAGCAAGTGCTGTTAGCGAGCACCTCGCACACACACGCACCTATACACACACACAGACAACCTACACACTCGCACACCTGTACACACCTACACCCCTGCACCCACACGCCTACACACCTGTACACACCTGTACACACCTGTACACACCTACACACCTGTACACACTTACACCCCTGCACACACCTACACCCACACACCTGTACACACCTACACCCTCACACCTACACACCTGTACACACCTACACACCTATACACACCTACACACCTGTACACACCTACACAACTGTACGCACCTACACCCCTACACCTACACACCTGTACACCTACACACCTACACCCACACACCCACACGCCCACACGCCTACACACCTATACACACCTACACACCTGTACACACCTATACACCTGTACACACCTACACCCCTACACTTACACCGCTACACCTACACACCTGTACACACCTACACCCACACACCTACACCCCTACACCTACACCCCTACACCTACACCCCTACACCTACACACCTACACCTACACACCTGTACACACCTGTACACACCTGTACACACCTACACACCTGTACACACTTACACCCCTGCACACACCTACACCCACACACCTGTACACACCTACACCCTCACACCTACACACCTGTACACACCTACACACCTATACACACCTACACACCTGTACACACCTACACAACTGTACGCACCTACACCCCTACACCTACACACCTGTACACCTACACACCTACACCCACACACCCACACGCCCACACGCCTACACACCTATACACACCTACACACCTGTACACACCTATACACCTGTACACACCTACACCCCTACACTTACACCGCTACACCTACACACCTGTACACACCTACACCCACACACCTACACCCCTACACCTACACCCCTACACCTACACCCCTACACCTACACACCTACACCTACACACCTGTACACACCTATACACCTGTACACACCTACACCCCTACACTTACACCCCTACACCTACACACCTGTACTTGCCTACACCCACACACCTACAGCCCTACACCTACACACCTGTACACACCTATACACCTGTACACACCTACACACCTGTACACACCTACACCCACACACCTGTATACACCTACACACCTGTAAACACCTACACACCTATACACACCTACACACCTGTACACACCTACACCCCTACACCTACACACCTGTACACCTACACACCTGTAAACACCTACACCCACACACCTACACACCTGTACACACCTACACCCACACACCTACACACCTGTACACACCTACACCCCTACACTTACACCCCTACACCTACACACCTGTACACACCTACACCCACACACCTACACCCTACACCTACACACCTGTACACCTGTACACACCTGTACACACCTACACCCCTACACCTACACACGTGTACACACCTGTACACACCTGTACACACCTACACACCTGTACACACCTACACCCACACACCTGTACACACCTACACCCACACACCTACACCCACACACCTACACACCTGTACACACCTACACACCTGTACATACCTACACCCACACACCTACACACCTGTACACACCTACACACCTGTACACGCCTACACCCACACACCTACACACCTGTACACACCTACACCCACACACCTACACACCTGTACACACCTACACACCTGTACACACCTACACACCTACCCACCTGTACACACCTACACTTACACGCCTACACCTACACACCTGTACACACCTACACACCTGTACACACCTACACCCACACACCTACACCCCTACACCTACACACCTGTACACACCTGTACACACCTGTACACCTGTACACACCTACACCCCTACACCCACACGCCTACACACCTGTACACACCTACACACCTGTACACACCTACACACCTACACACCTGTACACACCTGAACCCCTACACCTACACACCTGTACACACCTGAACCCCTACACCTACACACCTGTACACACCTACACCCACACACCTACAAACCTGTACACACCTACACCCACACACCTGTACATACCTACAGCCACACGCCTAAACACCTGTACAAACCTACACACCTGTACACACCTACACCCCTACACCTGTAAATACCTACACACCTGTACACACCTACACCCACACACCTG